TCTGTCCAACGCAAAAACACAAAAATTGTCCAACAATTACTAAAGAAAATATAGGAAAACCGTTGTATAAACACAAGTGGTATCGTTGTCAGTTTGTACGTGAATTCGACCAGTGTGAGTTTAGACGTACTAAATGTGAAGTGGATCGAAATAATAGAGAACGGATAGAGTGTCCTTTCCAAGAAATACAAACGTGAATTACATTTTGAAGGGATTTTCTGATAGATCAGATAAATGAAATGGCTTAATATTGTGTTATGGAATTACTAAGGAAACGAATGGAGTTTCTTGCTCATTCTTCTCCATTCGAATCTACATTTTGGAATGAGCACCTAGCTTCACTGACGGACTGACTGACAGACTGTTATTTATTTTGTATTTGTTGACGTTTCAAAAGTACAAAATTATGGTTTAATTGAAATAAATGCTTTGACTTTGACTTTGAAAAATTATATAGTATCGTTCGTCGAATTGTCACTAGTAGGATTGTCGAGTAAGAAGCTTAGGTCTCGGTTTCCGAAGCGGAAAAAGTAAGTATACTTATCAATTGTTATTGAGTTTTGTTTGCGGTAACTCAAAAATTGAAATGGTGATACTAAAATATGATCGAATATTTTTAAATCACTCACCCAAATTGTTAACTTTTTGTGGAATCGTAAGTAAGTAGAACCCGTTTTAGATAACTAGAATGTCCATAAGTCATTTCATTTCAATGGACGTTGCTTCTTTCTCCTCCCTCGCCTTCTCCGAAATAATGAGAGAGTCAGCATTGAATCTTAACCAGTCTCCTCGCCTTCTGCGAAATAATGAGAGTTGTAGAGAAATAATGTTATGTTATGTTTATGCTTCGGCCTGTCAGTATTTTAAGTGGAATAACTATCATCTGCAATCCACAACACACAAATGGCGATCGCACATTCTTGGTTAGATAAGTGAACGTAACTAAGGTAACACTTATTTTTTGTTGGAGATATGCCGACCCAAATAAACGATCTTCACATCACCTAATAGTAGGCAATCGGCGCCATCTATGCACATCAGAAACACCAGTGGCGTTACAATTGCGTTGCCGGCCTTTTGGGAGTTAGGAATTTGAGGATAGTTGCGGATTCCGGGATTGAAGAGATTGGAAAGGGTAGTAATTGATCTCCCGGTAACTTCACTTACACGACCACAACTCACGCGTTGTTTCACGGCGGTTTTCTGTCAGAATTTGTAATCACTTCGGTCGAGCTGCCCCATTCATACTGAAACATGGCGCTCCCACACATAAAGTAGAAACATGATTGCTTTAAATTCTAAGTACTGTCTTGAGACTCCAAAAACAAACACAGAGTATTTAGCAATGCTATCCTTACTAATATTATAAATCGGAAAGTGAGTTTGTTTGTTTGTTTGTTTGTTCCGACTTCACGCCGTAACTACTAAACCGATTTTTGCAGACGTAAAGTTAGTAGTCTGGATTAAATAATAGGGTACTTTTTATCCCGAAAATGTTTGATATTCCCGAGGGAAAATAAAAGTATTGGTATAGATGGCGCTGTATGTATTAGTATATGTCACATAGGCTACTTTTTATTCTTTTGTGTCGCGAGCAAAGCCGCGGGTAAAAGCTAGTAATTAATATAACGAGCACCGAAACGAAACTGATGACTGTTTAGTTGGCAAATTGTTTGTGCGTAAAACAAGAGTTTAATTGAATTGTTGTTAGTGCTTGTGTACCCAGTTATATAGAAGTGTACAATGGTAAACAGTGAGGCCGAACTGTATTCTTGTTTACGACTGTAATCGATCGAATGGTGCCCAAATAGACGGTGGAAGAATATTATTTTGCATAGATACGTAATAGCTTTTACTTACTTGTATTTTTAAGGTGGTCTCAGTGGTTTGGAATTCATTTCGGTCTATGTTTTGAAGTATATTACTTATGAGTTATAACAGATGTGTATTTTGCATATAGAATATCTTGATTTCACTTGTATTTTTTACAAGATATTGGTAATCTAGAATTTTCATTGGTGTCTATGTTAAGCTGTGGAGGACTTATGACAGATGTAATGATGATGTAAACTGAGTTTTAATTGATTTTTTCAGAATATGCACATACGCGATCTTAGAGGTAGCGAAGTAGATGCGAATCACAAAAACATCTGTCTTATAATCACTGTCTCAATTATCGAGTAACCACAAACCCTATCACCAAGACAAATGGCGGCGCAACCAGTTACCGTTTTTTTTTATAATATTACAGATTAATTCTCCAAGGACTCTAGGTCCGTGCCCTTGTCATACAATTTAACTAGTTACCGTTAGAAACGAAATGTAGAGGTATAAGCTGGATGTGCAACCAACGTAGACAAGTGATTAACTCTGTATATAACTGTATATGTTTATTGTTTATTGGTAGTGGCGACTGGTTGCGCCACCATGGACTCCCGGTGAAATATAGCCTTTAAAGCGACTGCCATGCACAAAACTTCGGCTATGATGTCCAAATCGAGTAAAAAATAATTGATATTTTCGGTTTTTCCATAACGCCACTGAACTATATGCAGGATATTTCTTTATTTATTTTATAGTATACTCCATAATAGTCCATACTGACAAAGCACAAGTAAATAAAAGCTTTTACTCCGAATATGTGTTTCCAAAAATAATCCGGTACATTCTGCTGTATTTTTTTAGGACAACAGTTTTATTTATCACATAACAAACAGAAGGCAATGGAACGGAAAACTTGATTAACGCATCTATGTAGGTCACATCAAGCTATGATATCCAGTATAAACTGACCTTTGACTATGTGGAAATATCATACAGAGGAAGACTAAGATAAATTGGATTGTATAGCTTGATGTGCATAGTATTTACTAGTAGTATGGCTTACCTACGCCGAAATATATTTTCCCGAGTCTTTTTTGCGCGTCCATTTTGTATAGGGTTCCACTCACTTTTATGGGTAACGCAATAATATCTTTTTTTGACCTGATCTAGTTCTTTTGGACAAAATTGGCGTTCTTAGGAACTAGAGGTATATAGATAGATAGATACGTAGGCAGATACCCAGTATTTGTTTTGATGTAATGTATGGGATAGATATTAGGTATTACTTACGTAGGGTGTTATTGCTAACCCGCATTGAGCAAGCGTGGTGATTAATGGTCAAACCTTCTCCATGCGAGAAGGGGCCTTTGGTCAGCAGGGGCCACTCATATGCTGTTGATGATGAGGAAGTTATTAGATCGTACAAAATGGTAACATAAAAAAATATATATATTGTTACAACAATCTATATCTCTATATATATATAATTCTTCTGTGAGTGTGTATGTCACTGAACTTTTCTCAAACGACTGACCGATTTTGATGAATTTTTTTGTGTGTGTTCAAGGGGATCTGAGAATGGTTTAGATTCACAAATCAGACCAGCAGATGGCGCTGCAGTCGATGTTTAGGTTATCTATCCTAAACAGCTGAACTAATTTGAATGATTTTTTGTTTATATATTCAAGTGGATATGCAGGACAACGTCTGTTGGGTTCGCTAGTATTTCTATATATATCTATATAAGTCATACATACCATGTATGGTATTTACTTTTTTTCTTTAGCTCCAGATTTTGTGTTGATTTTCTTATCGGTCTTAAGGTTGTAGTCAAGAAATTAAGCATAAATAGTATTGGATTCAGCTTCAGTACGACAAACAAATAAATACCAACTTTTGTGTTACAAAATCACTACTCTCTATCTGTAACCGTTAAGATGTAATAAGTAATAACATTTATGAACAAGAAAATCAAATACACTCGTGGACAAAACTATGGAATCACTTAGGTAGTTAGAATTGTTTTTACGCGATCTAGAGTACTTAATAACTAGTTAAGAAAAATATTGTAACATACCAAATTGATACAATTTTATAGGTTAAATTGTTAGCTTTAGACTGATACCAAATTCATTCAAGTCACGCCAATTAAGACATTATTCCGAATTACGTAAAGAAGTAAGTAAAATAATGTGTTTCAATCGTTTGAACGTCGACTGTCGATGTAATGTAATAAATATTTTTATCTTAGATTTCCAAGTTATACAATTAATTATAATGTACCTATTTATCATATAAAATAGTCTATCTGATCGTCACGCGCCAGAATAAATTGACGTATTCAATATAATTTTATTAGTTATCTAGAATTACATAATTCAATCTGTTTCGAGTAAATAAACATTTTTGTCAATGTTTTCTTTATTAACTAAAAAATACGAGTTACTCCAACCACCACCAACACCAAAGCAGGCCGCGACCGCGATTGCTGCTCATGAGGAAGAGTCCCTCTATGACTCGAAACTAGTAGAGCTTTTCTCAGTATATTTACGTGAGTAACCTGCGATTTTTAGTTAATTTGGTAAGTCTCACGGTAGTTATTATAAAAACGTAAAATATTTTATTGCTTATAAAGAACGTGATTAAAGAAATAATATCGATAACGTTGGTGATTTCACTAAAGTATTTAATAAACCTGAAGAGTTTTGTTTGACTGCGCTAACCTCAGGAAATGCCAATCCGTGTAATAAGACATTAGATTTCTAATATCCTCTACTAGTAATCTATATAACCATAGCAGTAGTAAAACAAGTATAACCACGGCGAAAACCTAGTAACAAATAACGATAAAATGAAGAAAACCCATCTCAACATTGTTATAAAACACACCACAGGCAATGAAGGTAAAATTACAACACAAGCTAACTATAAAATTTCTTTATGGACCACGTAACTGCTCTCATCACGGTATCAAAACGGAAGGTTATTTCACCCCTTTGAAAACAAAGTTACGTGTACCGTACAATACACAAACATTAACAATGTTTGATCCTCCGAAGGTTTCAGAGCAGAAGCAAATGTATGCACATACAAATATGTGGGTTACATTAAAGCCGTCGTACCATCAAATGAAACGGAATGGCTTCGTTGAATTCTAAAACATATATTTGTTACAGGAAATTGAAAAGAAACCAAAGAAGGACCAACAGTGAAGTATGAAGCTGATTCTAATGATATCAAGAAAATGAACGGAGATGACACATCAAATATCACACAGACGCTGACGAATTTGTTTGAAGAGATGTTACTAGAAACAGAAATGGCCGGTGAGAACCGGACTAATCTGGATTTTGCGCAGTTCTTGTCAGCTTTGAGGGTGCAGAATACTAAGAACAGTTCAGTTGAACCTTTGGACTTTGGCACGTTGGTGAAGATAGTGGATGGATGGAGGTCCCGACTGAACCTGACGAGGCCTATAGAACCAGCATGCACGTACTGTGAAGGGAACTTCAGAGACGTCATCCTTGCTTACAACAGTATCCATGGCTACCTCAGTCTCATTGTAAGTATTACTATCATTTTTCATAGCAACTTAAGCTACACTTCCAATATACCTTGACCTCCTAACCTAGCAAAACTCTATGGAACGTGAGATCATGTTATGTTGGAAGTACGTATGATACGATCTGTACATAAAATTTTATGCGTCTGTTCCAAACATTTGTTTGCTTAAACAAGCTCGCCAATTGTTATGTCAGGCATGAAAAGGATCTCAACATATTGTTGGTTGTATTATTTTCCCACGATATTGGAGAAAATCGTCTTATTTACTAAAGTGGTATTACCTCAGTTATCCTGACTACAATCTTTTTGGAGAGTCTGTTTTCTAGAGAATATTGAGTAGATTGTCTGTTCAATAGGAAAAATCTTTTTATATTGTTACAAGTGCATTGCTGTTGAAACTGTAGGAAACTGGAAGTGTTTGCTTTGAAAACACTTCTGTTATAAGAAAGGTGTGCAAATGTTCACCTTTTTCGATGTAGATGCTAAGAAAAGAGTTTCAGATATCTAGAAAATTAAATTAAATTGAACATGCAAGAATAATACTAGTTTAATTTACTACTTAGCACATTTTATTTTAGGAAGCCCGATGCCCAAACGTATGTTCCTAACCAATGAGGAATTTGATCGCGGTGTCGATCCCCAAGCAAATTATTTTCTTGGACTTTATTACTAAGCGTAAGTTACGTACGCATTGAAATTTATAATCAAAAGTAATGTTAGAAATTTTGTATATGCTCATAAGTCTTGAAAGACCACATCAAATTGGACAAATACTTTTTGTCGTACGGTGAATGACATTGACATGTCGTGGTGGCCCAGAGGTTTAAGACGCCCGCTTCTCATGCATGAAGGTACAGGTTCGAAACGTACCAACGGTAAGTACCAATGTGACTTTTCCGAGTTATATGTACTTTCTATGATTATCTAGACACCACTGAAAACATGGTGGTGATTAATGCTTAAACCTTCTCCGTGTGAGAAGAGGCTTTGCTCAGCAGTGGGCATTTAAAGGCTGTTGATAATGATGATGATGATGATGATGAATGACATTGGAGATAAAACCAAAATACCATGCCCACAACAACAAACTGTAACTCAACTATATATATATATATATATATATGTGTGTGTGTTATATACACATTGTGTATGTACGTCGGATGTACAGACATTCAGTTCCAACACCGGATATTAACTCTCTACTCTTGTCTGCATCTCTCCGCAACCTTCCGGCCCTAAATCTGAGTCAACATAGTCTAAACATCATATTATTACGTACGTCTAATATAATATAGTTACATAGTTGACAAAGTAATAACTAGAAAGTTTAAATGCCAATTTTAAAGACATCGATAAAAATCACTCCTTTTATTTTAATATTTTACAATATCTAATAAGATGCCCTGAGAAGAAATTACCTGTGATTTCTAAATCAAAAATATTGTTGAGGATTTTCATTATTCAGTTTTCAAAAACTGATAAATTTTGAACTAAATATATATATTGACTAGCCACTACTACTTTCGCGTGGTTTCACACGCTCTATTGGCCGTAGCGTGATGTTTTATAGCCTATAGCCATCCTCGATAAATGCGGTATCCAACACAAAAAGAATTATTCAAATCAGACATGTAGTTACGGAGATTAGCGCGTTCAAATAAACAAACAAAAAACAAACTCTTCAGCTTTATATAATAGTATAAGATATGAACTGAAGATGTAAAGCCAAGGATACATTAGGGGACAACTGTCGCAGGAGTTGGATCGGCGGCATGTCAAGCGAAGTCAGCCGATTTCGCCCGACATATACGGCGACAATACGCGACTTATGTCGACCAAAGTCCGGCAACGTCGCACTACTTCACCCAACATTGCTGACGACACATGTCGCAGAAAATTTTGTCCCCTAGTGTATCCTGGGCTTAAAGCCTCATTCTTGTATCTTGAAATACTTGAAGAAAACAATAAGTACATTTGTACCATTGAGAGCATTTCACCTCAGTAACAAACTTCAATGATAAATCCGAACAAACACAGACACGTTTTAATTAACTGAAATTGAACCTTAAATATATTAAGTGGATAGTCGTTATTAGCTTTTTTCCAGTTTTAGTGGTAGTTTGATTGATTTACGAAGAGATAGCCATTAGTTATTAGAGGATAGTCGATGTTACGATCTTCGAATTAGGTCAAGTGGATGAGTCATAATATTGTTTATTTTTGGGTTTATACTGATGATTAAATAACACTTATATCAATAATTTTCTGTTACTTATAAAAAATTGGCTGTTTATCAATCTTAGGCTCAAGTGTGACAACCGCTCTGCGCGCAGATCATTTGGGGCCGCGAAGGTTTACGGTTTTTTTTTTTTTTTTTTTTTTTTTTAAGGGGGGAAAATCATCGAATGACTGCCCCCGCCTGGGTGAGGCGGGAGGGAGTGTCAGACTCTTACTGACTAAAAACCACCCCGTTCCTTCTCCTGCACGTCGAGCCGGAGCCCCGGTTACCCGTTAGGTTCTCCGCGACTCCGAATCGGCATCGGCCCTATTCGACCCCATCTGTGGTGGTCTGATGGCTCTTTGAGGCGCGCGCGGAACGCGACGCGCCGTACGCTCGGGTCTGTTTCTGGTCGGACGGGGAGCCACCCATGCTCGCCGTCCGCAGGCCCGCGCTTACGGTGGCCGGAGATCGTCCCGCGATCCCCGACGCCCGGTGTGTCCTTCGCGATGGCTGGGTTGCGAGGAGGCAGCGCTTCGCTGCCTCACGCGTCCCGCCTCCTCCTTAGCTAGCATGACTGCTTCGCAAAAGGAGGAGACGGCATCCCAATCCCCCTCGCTCCGCATCATGGCCTGCACTAGGCCCGGACGCGAGAGGTCGCCATCGCCGATCACTTCCCTGAGGACACGGCGGTGCTCAGCCCACGAAGGGCATTCTCCCACCGTGTGTTCCACCGTGTCCTCAGGGCGGTCCTCGCAGTGATGACACCCGGGCGTTTCCTCCCGCCCCATCAGACACAGGTACCTCCCGAAACTGCCATGTCCGGTGAGGACCTGCGTCAGGCGGTAGGTGAGACGCCGTAGCGTCTCTCAAGCCACTCCTCAAAGAGGGGACTTACCGCTGCAATGGCAGCGAGCCCAGCCCTCGGTTGCGACAGTCGTTGCTGCCATTCCGCCATGAGATCGCGCCGGAGCTCATCCCGCCACGCACTTATCTGGCGCGGCAGCGGAGTTTCGCCCCGGCGACGTGCCTCCGCGCGCATGCTGTGCACGCGCGCGAGCACCTTCGCCTCCAGATCCCACGGCGGTAATCCGGCAAGGAGGTTCGCCGACTCCCCAGAGATCGTGCGGTATCCGCGGATCATTCGGATCGCCATGACCCTCTGTGCCATGAGCAGCGTCCGAGCGGGACGCCGCAACAGTTAGGCGCCCAAACAGGGGCGCCGTAGAGGGCCATGGACCGCACGACCCCGGCGTATAACCTCCGGCAGGAGGCATTTGGCCCCCCGAGGTTGGGGAGGATGCGTTTAAACGCAGCCCCCGTCCTCTCCAACTTTGGAGCCAAACGTCGGAAGTGTTCTATGAAGTTCCACCGACTGTCGAGGACGAGTCCTAGGTACTTCATCGTCGTCTCGACGCCGATGGTAACTCCTCCCGCCGTTATTTGGGACCCACCCGGAGGTGGCGCGTTCCCGCGGCCATGAAAACACATGGCCTCGGACTTGTGGAGCGCCACCTCGAGTCCCAACTGCCGGATTCTCTCAACGACTGTCGCAACCGCTGTCGCCATTAAGTCGGCCGCCGCCTGGTGTGACCTCCCGTGCGCCAGCACCAGCGTATCGTCGGCGTAGCATAGTGCTAACGCCGTTCGGGAGGTCGGTGCGCAGCACCCAGTCATAGCCGATGTTCCACAGGAGCGGCCCCAGAACCGAACCCTGTGGAACACCGCGTGACATCTCTCGCCGGTTCCACTCGCCCCGGTGACCGGGGTAGCTGACGGACCTGTCCGTCAGGTAAGCCTCGATTACACGACGGAGGTAGGTAGGCACCCGATGATATCGGAGTGCCTCCAAGATGCAGCTCCAGGGCAGGGAGTTGAAGGCGTTGGCGATGTCCAGAGACACCGCCACTACGACCTTACCCCTGGACACTGCAGTCCCCGTCGTGAGGTCTCTAACGCGCATGATGGCGTCCACCGTGGAGCGCCCTCTGCGGAAGCCGAACTGGCCGTCCGACAAGTCCGGCCCAATGTCCGTCAGGTGCGCGACGAGGCGGTTCGAAATGATTCTTTCGAAGACTTTCCCCACCTCGTCGAGCAACACTATGGGCCGGTACGCGGACGGAGAGTCCGCAGGGCGCCCCGTCTTCCGCACGAGGACCAGTTTTCCCGCTTTCCAGAGAAGCGGGAACTGGCCTCTCTCCAGACATGCGCTGTAGAGACCAATCAATCGAGGCCCGAGAGCCTCTGAGGCCAGGACCCATGCCTTGCCATGCAGGCCGTCGGGTCCCGGGGCGGTGTTCTTGGCGCCCATCCGGCGCACCGCCGCTCTCAATTCTGCCTCGGTCACCTCTGGGACGATGTCGTCGTCGTCGTCGCTGTAGCCCGCGTCGGGCACCGCAGGGGGCGGAGTCATATACGGAGGGGTGAACCCCCTCCACAGTCGAGGGAACAGGGTGCCAATCACCTCCTCCAAGACTTCTTGCCGGAGACTCTGGGTGAGCGGGGGAGCCCAGGCGCGGAGTTTGTCGCGTACCATCCGGTACGGGCGTCCCCACGGATCTCTGTCCAGAGTCCCCAGCATCTCTCGGCGGGCCTCCTCCTTGGCCCGCAATATCTCCACCTTGAGGAGGGCCTTGGCCGCCCTGTATCCCTCGTACAACTCCGCCTCTCTCGCCTCCGCATTAGGAGGACGGATGCGGCGCCTGCGGTGCCTAGTGTACTGGCGTCGCGCAGCAGTGCACGCCTTGCGTAGAGCTGCTAGCTCTTGCGACCACCAGTAC